AACGAGCAGCTCCTCAACGAGGCGGCGATCATCTCGATGTTGGGAGCCGCCATCGCCGAAGGCGAAGCCCACAACCAATGCAAGACGAGATGAGGAGGAGGAGGAGGAGGAGGAGGAGGAGGGGGTGCGGAGAAAGTTGGTGGAAGCAGTTGAAGAAGAAGAAGAAGAAAGAGGCTTTTTGTTTTGGGGGAGTGTTTGGGTGGAGAATAAAACGGAAGCAGAGTTGGGAACGCCGGTTTTAACGCGGCCTTCTCAAAATAAAATAAAATAAAATAAAATTCATTTTTCTAAAAAGAAAAGAAAAGAGGATTTGTTATGTTGCGATAATAGGTTCGGGGAATGACTTCTTTCAATGAGTTGGCAAAAGTTCATAGAGGAGGTTTTAAAACTAATGTCTGCATGGCTCCAAATTTCTTCGAATATATGAGGATGTTGCGTCTCTACCATGTAACTTCATCTATTATTTCCCTACAATAAATTTATTTTATAATTATAACAATCTCAATTTTAGAATGTGCGTATCGTAGCAAAATATATCCGAACACTACAAGATTTATCAGAGTTTTTTTCCGACCACACTTTATTTTTTTTATCATCATTTAAAAGACTTACTTGTTGCGAATCGATCAAAGAGTGAGTACGATAAATTGAGATTGAGGGATGCAAATCTTTTTTTTTTCAAAATATTCTCTCCTTCAAGTGAGTAAGACAATGAAATCCATAATAAATGAATTAAGAGCCTCGTCCTCCTCCGAGGAGAAATACTCCTATGGGAAGGGAATGACTCAGGACTAAACGAAGAGAACCTTTATCTATTCTTTATTACGAGTCTTTCTCTCTCTCTAATGAAGAGAAATACTCCTATAGTACGATACGCTCTAACTTAAATTATCAAAGAGGATTATCAATTAATCTTTGACACACCTTATTTGACTATTTTGAATGTTTTGTTTCAATGACTCTAATATGAGATCATGATAACTAATTCTTTTATGAGTTGGGAAAGACGTGGATGGAATTTCAAATATTGAATGAATTGCGACTAGATTAATAAAATCTAGAGCATCAAAATAGGCCTATTGAGCTCTGACATTATCAAATAGATAGATGGCCTAATGGAATTAAGCACCCATCAAATTTCATACATATTAACATAATAGGATAATCACTTAAAGACATCATATGATTAAGACAAAATACGAGCACACGAGTGATAAGTCTTCATTTATCGTTATCGACATGAGTATGAGGGCAATTGAGGAATTCTTCGCTTTGGATGGACCCATATGACTTTACTCATCATTTGTTATTATCAACATAATTTTACTAAGCTCACACTATAATACAATGCACTCTAACTTAAATATCGAAGAGGATTATCAATCAACCATTGACACCCATTTTTTGACTATCTTGTATGCTTTGCTTTGATGACTCTAATATGAGAGCATGGTGACCTATCTTTTTATGAATTGAAAAATACATGAATGTTGAATGAATTGTGGTTAGATTAATAAAATCATAGAGCATCAAAATAGGTCTATTGAGCCCTGCCATTATCAAATGGATAGATGGTCAATATACAATAGAATTCAACACTCATCAAATTTCATACAAATATACTAACATAATTAGATAATCACTTAAAAATATTATATAATTAAAATAAAAATATAAGCACGCGAGTGATATATCATCATTTGTCGTTATAAACATGAGTACGAGGGCTTCTGAGGAATTCTTCACTTTGGATGGACTCGTACGATTTTTACTCATCATTTGTCATTATTGACATGACTGTACTAAGCTCGCGCCATAGTATGATACGTTCTGACTTAAGAGGATTATCAATCAACCTTTAGCATCTTTTCTCTGGTTTTCTTGCATGTTTTGTATCAATGGCTCTAACATGAGTGTAGGATGACCTATCCTTTTATGAGTTAGGAAAGATGTAGATGGAATCTTAAATGTTGAATGAATTATAGCTAGATTAATGAAATCATATAGCATCAAAATAGGGTTATCGAGCTCCGCCATTATCAAATAGATAGATGGCCTATACATGATGTAATTAAGCACTCATCAAATTTCACACAAATATACTAATATAATATGAGAATCACTTATAAAAATCATATGATAAAGACAAAATATGAGTATATGAGTGATAAATCATCATTTATCGTTATCAATACAAGTACGAGGGCTTGTGAGGAATTATATACTTCGAACGGTCCCACACAATTTTACTTATCAGCATGAGCATAAGGACTCGTGAGAAATTCTTCACTTTGGATGATCCGAATGATTATACATGAGTCAAAAAAATGATTATAATGGTAAAAATTGACTTTGTGTTCTCTTACTCTCGATCCATACGATGCGAAACATGTTTAATAGCACTACACTTGTATAATATTTGCTCTAACAAAAAGCTACCTCTCATTTCAATTTAATGGATCATTTTTGGTAAATATCATCTTCCACCTGAATCTAACCTATCCTATCCTACTTATTAATTTTATGGGTTTATATATATATGTAAAATGAAATTATTTTGTAAAACACTATCGCAGTAAAATGAAATTATTTTACTTAGGTACGTCAATGCTGGTCAAACATTATCCGATCAAACCCAATGCAACATCGTATGATCAAGCGAATTAGACAATGTGGACTGCAATAAAGTATTAGATTTTAGTTGCGTGAGGAGGAGTTCACTTCAATTCATCCATGCTGATTTCAGTTTCTTCAAATTTGAAATCGCATCGATATCATAATCCTTAGATTTTAGTTCTACAATTGAAATCGTCGATTTAGTTTTTGATTTCCATTCGACTCGCTAATTTCGATCGATAAAAAAATAAAGAAAAATAAAATATTGTACCAAAATTCAAACCCAAGTCAAATATACTATTAAATCTAAAGTACAAATCACACTATGAAACATATTCATATTTTATCGGTTTAAAATCATGTTCGATCTCTAACGAATCATATATGCCTATATTCCGGTTTTAATTTGAATCGGAGTGTGATGAGTATGAATTATTAAGCACCAAAACCGATGAGTATGCAAAGAAAGTTTTATTTCCTCATGTCGGTGACCTTTGGAGGTACTAACCGCTACTCTTGTTGATTTCAGAACGAGTGTGCATCACATTGCGTCCGAGACCCCATCAAAGACTACTACCTTGTAACCCTGTTGGGTCCCACAATTCACTTAATACAAGTTTAATTATCTATCACATAATTATTATAATCAAATCGAACATCGACTCCGTCAAGATTCCATTCATTTGTTGAATTTAATTATATATATATATATATATATATATATATATATATATATGTGTGTGTGTGTGTGTGTGTGTGAAAGAAAGTAGCAAATACTTTATTTTTCTCTTTTAACCTTACCGTAAAAGAAAAAAGACTCGAAAGCTTTGAAATAAAATATAAATGTACTAGATAATAAAAAAGGGATTAGAAATGTTTTTTTTTAATTTTCAAATAATCTAATTAGTGGATCGAATTGGTCTTTTTCCTTTGAAAATTAGATTATTTTATCTTAAATAAATAATTATTATTAATTAAATATAAAATGAAACAGGAACGCACATAGTGGGAGTCATGATGATGTTTGTAGATTCCTAATCTCAATGATACGTTGTCAATGTCGATCGATGGTCTCTTGTCGTGTGTTATCTGCAGCATTCTATTTGATGACAACTCCACTCTTACTCCTGCAACCAAAATGTGGGTCGACTTGAATTTGATTTAATAAAAATAAATATTAATACCTAGACATGCATAACATGTAGATAGATAGATGTGATCCTATCCCATCCATGATTCTCGTCGATCCAAATCATTGTCACCCTAAATACTAATCCACTAATAGGCAAATGGTTCTTCTCAGCTTTGCTGTTGGTGTCAAAGGATGATTCTTTTCGATACTTTGCATGAGTTTAATGAACTCTAAATTAGAAGGAAAAAATAAAAGACTCATAGTAAAGTATAGATAAAGATTCTCCTTGTTTATTTCTCTTAGAGTTATCCCCTTCGCATATGAGGATTTCTCGAGAGAAGAGGCTCTTAGGTCTCGAAGAAGGTTTGCATCCGTCAATCCCAATCTATCATCCTCGCTCTTTTTATTCTTTTCTTGATCGATTCTCGAACACCCTTCTCACGTATAAATAAGTTTTTATATGGTTTGTACAGAAGAATCGTGAAGATATTTTGCTATGATATGGTCCTTCTAAAATCGTGACCGCTACAGTAGTAAAATAAATTTATTATAGAGAAATAATAGATTGAGTTACATGGTAGAGACTAAACCTTGTGGATGTGCCATAGAGCATCCTCATCAAAAAGAGTAGAGATAGACGTATCGGTATTGTTATTCTTCCATCATCAAAATTGAATGATATTTTATATTAGGATTCATAAGATAAAAGACAAGCATACATTATTAGTTCAAAAACCTCCCCTATGAACTTTTGCTAACTCATTGAAAGAAGTCATCCCCCAAACCTATTATCACAACATAACAAACCCTCTTTTCTTTTCTTTTCTTTTTAGAAAAATGAATTTTATTTTATTTTATTTTGAGAAGGCCGCGTTAAAACCGGCGTTCCCAACTCTGCTTCCGTTTTATTCTCCACCCAAACAGTCCCCTAAAACACAAAAAAAACTCTTTCTTCTTCTTCTTCAACTGCTTGCACCGACTTTCTTCGCACCCCCTCCTCCTCCTCCTCTCGTCTTGCATTGGTTGTGGGCTTCGCCTTCGGCGATGGCGGCTCCCAACATCGAGATGATCGCCGCCTCGTTGAGGAGCTGCTCGTTGGGGGGAGGCGGAGGAGGGGACCAGTCGCCGCCGCCGCACCTCGCCGAGGCGACCGACGAGAGCGCTGGGGGAATCACGGTGGAGCTGAACTCCGACACCGCCCTGCCGTACCACTGGGAGCAGTGCCTTGACATGCGGGTGCGATCTCCCTCCCGTCCTCCCCTCCTTAAATGCGCCTCTCCGTATCGCCAATCATTGATCATAAATGCCCAACCCTAGCCTCAAAAATGCAGTTTTGGGACCGATTCGGCCGTCAAAATCCTTCCTTTCCGCCCCGCGCCCATCTCTCTCTCTCTCTCTCTCGCTTCAAAACAGTCGGGCAAAACAGAAGAGATTCCCGAGGGAGGAAGAGAGGAAGAACTTGTTTCTGATCTTTTGATGCAAAGAGCTAAAGAGCGGAAACGAAGTGGAAAGAGAGATCTATCGGTCTCGTATCCATGTCACTGTTCATTTACGTGGAAGAATAAAAGAAACTGAACACAAACTCTAGCAACTCGATAGAAAAGAAATCAAAATGATAAACTCACCAGGCCCGAAATGATCTATGCCACTCTGGTGCCTTAATCTGATCCATATGGAACCAGGGAGAAGGATATATCTCATCAAATAATTCACCGTATAATGCTGAGTTGCAAACATCTCCGAGGAATGCAACCGCAATCACGCAAGGTCCTCTGCCAACTTCTACATTCCTGCATTACAAAAGAATACATTACCAAGCAACAAGATATGCAATATGTTACATAGTTAAGAGAAGTAAATCTTCCTGAGAAATTGATTCAGATTTCCAGGTTCATATCCAGAATCAAAAGACACAGAGAAGCATACTACTTGGTTTTGCAAACGTTTATAAGGCAATCATTCCGAATAAAACAGCAAAAGTTCAAACATCTCATTACAAGTTACATGCCTCCTCATAAGTTTTACAAATTGTAGCTTGGAATTATTGACTCGTAGACGATAAAGCTCATTCTTCAACATGGCAACTCTCTGCACCCAGTCCCAACTATTAAGAAGACGAAGAATGCAGATGTTATCTTCGATCAGTAGTTACCCGGCCTGTATCACATCAACATGGCAAAGACAAATGATCAAGGTGCTCAAGTGAAGGAAAATTAATATCGTAGCATAATTTGGTCCTTATGATAATTGATACATCATCTAAGCATAACAATGTATTCGATAGGCTTCTATGTAGAAGCTGCTGCAAGTGTTTATGATAAGTACCAGTCGAAAAGAATATGATGCAGAAAATATCTATTAGACATCTCGTAAAATAAAATAAAAAAGGTCTCTTTTTCCAGTCAGTACATGCTTTTCATCCATGGTGGTGCATCTGCAAGCTCCTCTATGGATATAGTGGACTATGGTTTAGGCCCCCTATTTTATTCTATCTCACCGCTTCATGCTCCGAAATGCAATCTCCTGTAGCTCCGTATGGCTAAAATATTTGGATTTCTTTAAGTTCAAAACCATGGAATTCGAGTCTGACATTGCCAATGAGTTGCTTAATAGTAATGTTTAAATATGTCATGTTTTCATGCATACAAAGCAGAGAAACAAATTCTGGAAAGAACATTAAAAAGAAAATTCTGAAGGTATCACCTTGCATACATACCCTATTATGCCTCTCCTCTGCTAATTTCTTGCCTCCTCTCAACACTTGAAATCAAGGAAACTAAAAAAGTTTCAGATCAGAGATTAGATGAGATTGTAGATCCGTCCGTGCCATGTCCATCTCTGCTTCTTCGAAACAAGATCTTATTTCTAACGTATCTTAGTTCTGATTGATTGAACCAAAAAAAAAAAATCCAAAAATTTGAGATAGCCCCTGCCCCCAAAACTAGACTAGAGCAAGTTTTGTTCCATAACCATGATGACCCTCCCTTTTGAATATCATTTTTCACTCCCAAAAAACTGAAATCTAAAGACAAATGAAAGTAAAGAAGAAGTCAGAAGTATCATGCTAACACAAATGCCCTTTTCAGTGACTCACAAATTGGTGTCTTTCTAATAATTTCAAGTACAATCTTAACTAATTACTATGATTCCTCTTGCCCTTGAAACTCAATTCAATCTTGCTGAACAGACATTTCAGTTTGGCCGATCCATAAAAAAGATTGTTTTGGCATGGTCAGAATAAGGTCTTGCAGTCTTGGAATGGATGCAAGGCTATGTTCTTGATAAAATGGAGATCAGCTTTGCATTTCTGACATCCTTTAATATGCTTTCACTTTTCACCAAAGTTGTGTTCTTATAGTTCTGGATATCTACTAGAGCAACGGTGAGATGACACAACCAGGGTCTTTGGTGGCAAAAGAATGAAAAACCATGCGCAATTAGATTTTGCATATGCACCTTCCAGTGTTCCACTGTGCTACCACTTCTTGGGATCTCATGCACAATTCGGAAACTGACAGAAACTAACCATAAAAAATAAAATAACATTCTTGCAAACTTAAAGTAACAGGACAAGAACTAGGTCTAATAACTTCATATAAAAATTGCATACCCATCTTTTGTAATTACTTTTACGTTATCATGTAGTAACATTACCATGTGGTAATCTTGCAATAGTCTTCAGAATATAGTCAAATTTTTATGTTACCATGTCTTTTAAGCTTCAACATGCAAACCCAGCAAGCTGTAACACAACCCGCAGGCTTGTCAACAGTCAACTTAAGGGTCATACAGTATGTTGTTTCAGCTGGTTTTAGAAACCTACTATTTACTCTTGTTACTATCCAATTTAAAACATCAAATTGTCTATTCTCAAGACACCTAACCAAAAATAAAGATCTATTTCAGACCAAGCAAATCATAAAAGTAAACCAGATAAACATTTGAAATCAATCCAAAGGGCTCTTTCATCTGCTAAATACTGACTACAAAGAACCGAGTTCTGATGCATTAACTATATACGTATGTGCTACATGAATTCCCCATATTTGTTGCTCTAAGAGGAAACTAATGATGAGAACGATCTGATACCCAGTCGGGGGTGAATCCAGAATTCATATAAGAATCCCAAGTCCTAACAAGAGAATTAACGTCAAACCAAAAGTAAAGACATGAAACTGCAGCCAAAGTTACCTCCTTTTAGCCTCGCATCATCTTACTCGCTGTCCCCGCTGTCATCCTCATCCTGATCAGGGTCGACATAAACCCCCGGCCGTGGAGGTTCCCGCCGCTGCGTACTTGAAGGAAGGATGTTCTCCGGATCGACCTCCACCAACGGATCATCAACGAAATCGCTGTCATCATCTCCCTCCCCGCCACTCTCGTCTTCACTACCCACATCGCTACCGTCGTCGCTGTCGTCATCATCGGCCTCCTTATCCCCCTCTTCCTCCTCCACCACTATCCCTTTTCCCTTGTCCACAGAGGTGAGAGCTCCCGTCCCTTCATCGACAGCGGGTAGGAGGAGGTGCAGAACAGAGGCCATCTCCAGCTTTTGATGCTTCTGCTCTCGCTCGCCCTCGCCTTCCACGAGGGGTTCGAGATCACGCTTGCGCTTCATTCTGGTTCTAGGGTTCGGGAACAAGGCTCTCCATTGGTCTTGGCCATGAAAAGTTAGGGGTTTGCTCCGGGAAGACGGTGCTTGGATTGGGTCTTGTTGCGGTGGTGCCATTTTATAGTTAACCTGCGGACGTTTTTGAAATTAGAGTGTACACATTAAGAGGGTTATATATATATATATATATATATATATATAT